GAAGCAGTCTGTTTGTTTTCGGACGGGTCTTCTTCGGCTTCAGGCATGTCGGCCGTATCTCTCTTTTGCCTGGGCCTTCTCGACCTCCCGCTGCTTCCCTTTTTCCCTTTTTATTTTAAACGCACACGAGGCAGGCCCTTCTCCCGAGCCCCTTCTGTTTCTCAACAGAGTACCGTTCTCCCTAGTTCGTCCCTATCGTGCTTCGCGGTCCATGGTTAAAAAAAGAACCGCCTTTTAGAAGAAGCTCCGAAATCGTATCGCTGAACGTGAATTAAAACTTCATAAACCAAACTAACGACGAGGCGTATTAGCCAAGTTATTTTCTTGCAATCAACTTAAAACCTTCAATCTCCTCAGGGATAATTTTTACACAATTACAAAATGAAACGATAGAATATCTTCCTGTGCACCCACACATTCCCGTGTTTAACTGTAGTTCAGCGCAAAAAGTCAGCTCTACACAATATTTGGTCGTATGATACGCGGTGATATAAATATCTGTCCAAACGCTTATCGACGAAATAAGATAATGTCATCGATCGAAAGTTCTCGAAGTTTACTCAATCTGGAGTCAAAGCGAGAGGGTTTCCTAAAGACCTCTCATGATGTCTCATCGTGTCCTCTTCTTCGCTCACGAAGACTCGTGAGATAGCCGAGTAGAAGCAGCAGCACAGCAGCGGTGCACACGAGAGAGCCGCATGCCTCCTCTCCATATATTCTCTCCACTTTAATCTTTCTTTTGTGACTCGGCCGTTTTAGCGTTTTTTATTCCCCGATGAGCCGGGACTTCGTCGACGAAACAGAAGAGACGCGCAATGAAGACGGAGAGACCAGGCCACGGACAGAGAAGAGGGTGGGACACAAGAGGAGGGCCATCGCTGCAGGCTTATTAGCAAGAAGTCAGAAGAGAAAGAGAAGGACGTAAGGAGTTCTGTCGAGGGAGAAAAAGAATCGTTTAAGAGGAAAGGGACGAAGGGAAGGTTCGAAGGGTGGACATAGCAATGTCGTGGATAAAGATGGCTTCGCATTACCATAATAAACAATTGTGCGGCTCTTCAGTTAATCGTTGCAAAACCAGACTTCTTTTTTTAATTATATCCTCCGCGAAGTCATTTACGAGCTGAGTTTCATTTTCTTGCTTTGCTGACGGCTGTATAGCAATCAGGACAGATTATAATTGGCCCACGTTGCAATCAGATCAATGGTATAACTGGATACGGACATTCGTCTGGCCCAAGTACAAATTTCCAAAACTATTTCGTAGTGCTTGACACTATTAAAATCCTGTATAGTTACGCCAATGGTAACCTGATGTTTGGAACTGCAGTCTTTAGAAGAAAACGAGGGACATTATCAGGATCGTTTCGAGTTTCGCGAGAAGCAACGGTGACAGGGTCCGGTCATGAAAGCGAATGATTTTCGTTACGCTGAACCGGAATTGGTCGCGGGTTGGCTGGTATCCGCACGGCAGCTTGTACAGCAAAATAAATTATTCCCGCGGAGCGTAGGGAAGCGATGTAAAGGGAGAGGCTGAGAGACGACGAAGGAGAAAGAGTAAAGTCACGGATAAAGATGGCTTCGCATTATCATAATAAACAAGCGGCACGATGGTTAGTCACCGCGAACTGCTCCATGTCTCTTTGTTTATTTCGTGCAGTCCTCATTAACACACGGACCAGAGAGAACTCTACTCTCTCCGTGTAATGTATATTTACGCTACGTCAAACACGGTCCCAGTGTATCGGCCGTGTTCCTCGACGTGGATTTCTTCCAGACCCTCCGCTTGAAATCTCTCCAAGCAAAAAGATCCACGAACGCGACCGACCGAGCGTTCCTCTTCTTCTTTCCTTGGACGCGAATTTTTCCCCTGACGGCAAATTTATTTGGGGTAATTTGTTTAGCAAATACAACGTCCAGACGATTATCTCATTTGTACACGCAACGCGCTCGTTCCGATTTGCAAAATTGCCCAGACATCATCCTTGAGTCTTCGAGTCCGTGGAAAAAGCGACGAGCCGCCTCGATACACAAAGGAAGGCTTGGTACCTGCCGGCTAAATGAAAGTGAGCTCTTCGTGTACTTGTTGCAACGAGCAAAGTATAATCTTTTATGACTTTCAATTGACTATTCATTAAAAGAAGCCGCCAGGTATCGACGCTCTTCTATACTCGCGATGAACGGGATGCGAAAATGATAGACGTTCGTGGAACTGCATGAAGTCATTCGGAGCAAGCTTTGTTCCAAATTTACGGGTCTTTACAAATTGAACCACATGATTTTACTTTCGATTCTTTTTCATCGAACTTATCTTTTGTTCTCGATTGGCCAAACAATGTTCTTTGTTTGAAGAAATATACCAGTAGCGTCTTGTGACGATATGAACTTCTGGAGTGACCTAATATTTACACGCATCCTCGAACGGTCTTATCAAGCTCGTGCTTATAAATAAACATGAGTTGTAATCAATTAGCCAAACGAACAGCGTGTGGCTCCACTCCGTATAATTTCGACGATCGAATCTTATTATATTCGAGATGATACGACGTAGGACAAGTACGGAACTCGTTACGGTATATCGACCACCCATGATATAGCATCATTAATCAACACGAGTCATTTATTATCAACGATCGCTGGTACTTCAGAAACATTGCGAAGAAGGAACAAGATTCCCTTGCGCGCCGTAATGTCTTTCTTTGCTTCATCTGAATTTCAGTATTATTCCAAGTTGGAAAACAGTTCTACGACCTCGACGACAAAATTCCTCCTCTCTGTACGACATTTTTAAAGTTAGCATCGAAGATAATTTATATAGTAGTTGATCTTGCTACGATCTCGTTTCCATTTTATTAGCGACCAGTACTTCTACATGTTGAACTCGATGTCCTTGCGTATACTTCGTTTTATCTACTTACAGCAACATTTTTATACTTTACTTCTCGATACGACCGCTTAATTAATCTAAATATTTTTCTTTTGGATTTATAGATTCCCCTTTCGTCCAAGAAGTAAGGTGTTATTGCAATCAACCGGAATGCGTGCCTCAAGGATACATGTGCCGTGGCAGGGGTTGCTTCACCGAGCTTCCATCCAACACAAATCCATCGCTGTTGAGAGCAGAGCACAGCACTTACAGCGGCTGTCTCGACGAAAGATTCAAGGAACGACAGTGTCCCACGGGATATCTTTGTTGCGAGCAGGATCTCTGCAACCACGTCGATAGTCCAGCCATGAGAAACAGGCTCAACAAGACTCTTCAAGGTTAAACGAGTGTTCTCCGTTCATTAAAATCAGCTGATAACGTCTTAATTTCGAACGAGTACCAATTTTCCTTTTTACATACTCTTTGCTCCACATCGGACCTCCTCAAACTCTCTCTCTCTCTCTCATCCACTATGTAGCTCACACTCGCGTTTGATTTCGCTTTTAATTAGATTATTCAAATACATTGCATGCTAAGAACCTTGATTCCGTCGTTTTCCAACGATTCGATATACGCGCATGCCACTTCCACGAAGTCTGGAACGAACGATTTAAAACAATAGTGAAAGTCGAAGGTTGTGTGAATTTATGAATAATGAAATCTTCAGCATAATTGATACCGATGCACGCGGCATAACGAGGAACGTTTATTATTGTTGCAGTGTTGGCGGGTGACCAACGACCTTTCCTCGGCCCGGTGCAGCCGATCAATCACGGGGGTCAGTCAACGGACGGCTGGTTCAAGACTGCCACGATTGCTGTACCGATTTGCGGCCTAATCGTTCTGCTGATACTGGCCAGCCTCGCTATTAGATTACTTCAGCCTGTGCCGACGCAAACTGACAAGCTTGGACCACATCGGATGCCCGATAATGGGCCGCCGTTACTAGGACCACAGAAAGTGCCTCTCGTTTAATGTATCTCGCAATCCAAAGACGTTTTGATAAAGTGTTCTAGCCGCGGATAGACCTTTTTAGTAAAGACTATCTCTAGAAAAAGCTAGCGGGCTTACGTAGCTCCACTTGGCTGTGAATTTTGTGAAAGAGCGACTGCTGTAAATTATAACAATGCGTGTTATGCATCGATTGCTGTTGAATCCCGTCGAACGACGATATCGAATGAAAAACATACGGGAAATATATGTATAGTCGTCGTGAGATCGAACAGAGTGAGAAAAGGGCCAATAGAACAGGACCTTTGTCATTGGAGTAACTAGGTAGGGACCAGGGTGGGTCCTCTTCGAATATAGAAATATAACGCACGGTGAACTAACGTATAGCCCATAGAGCACCCGAGGAATAACGGGTGGCGATCTAAGGCTTTTGTCCTCGGACAAAGATCCTAGTTACACCGATGACCTTTGTACATGACGTTAATAAGCGACAAAAAAATAAAACGCATGATATCGCCTTTATTGTAGCATTGTAAATAGAGTATGTATTTTCTATGGTATTTAGATGGTATCGCTTATTTAGGAGGCGTTACAAATTGTAATGGCGCGTTACACGAACGTGTGTCATCGATCCTCGATGTTCAAAAAGACGAAAATCTAAATAAAAACCTTAGACAATCAATGCATATTATCAATAAACGTTAAGAATCCCGATGTACTGACAATATGTATTGATCAACTGAGGTAATGAAAAAATCCATTGTGACGTTACAATATAATCTCGTCCGAGAATATGCGTATAATTCTGCAATACGAATAATTGTTTATCGAGAGAGAGAGAGAGAATACCGATGAAAACGAACGAAGAACAATAAAAGTCTGATATCTTTTTTTTTTTTTTTCAATTACGTAGGTCACCTTCTGTCGAAGATCAGTTATCCTGGTATATCATGTATTCCTGACATAGTAATCGTATTCCATATAAATCTTATACTATTGTGATAATATGATGATAACTTGTATAATAGTTTATGTTTATTAAATATGTACCACGACTTTGTTTTACACGAGTTACTTGCGAGGGATAAAATCGATACGAAAGTCGACTTAAAATATATTGAAATAATTTTGCAGTAATCGGATCTCTATTTATTTACTCCTTTTTATCAGTTACATACACATACCATATCGATACCCGATATACAGGAAGGGTATGTCATTATTCTGTAAAATTAACAATCGATTTGATCAGCTCAGAAAATTTGTCTCGTTCCACTTTCGAAATAGTAACCATAAAACGTTTAGTAATAATATAAATGTTTTGGCATCACAGTTTAAAATCGTACAATTTTCACATTCCTCGTTTCGTTCCGCTTTTTTGTAATTTCTTCGCTCGGTTTGTTTTTCTTGTTTCAATCTTGCTTCGCTTCCACGGGTCCATTCCGTCTCCTTTCTTGGGAAAAAATGTATTTAGCTTATAAAAATACTGCTTAAGGTATGTATCTTCATTTGTATCTCTATGTTTTTGTTCATTCCCAACAATAATTGGGCTACCAGTCAAGTTCAATTGAAATTCGAGCAGGACAATTGTGTTCCATCTATGTACACGCAACATAGGGATACTAGGTTTTGCTCGATGCTTTATAATCAGTCGACCGTCACAACCCGCATGACGGGTTCTAGTTACATTAGTTAACAGATCATAGTTTTTAGGAGAGAATTTCGCCAAACGATTTCACGTAAGCCTCGTGAAGTTTGTTGATGAATTCTGGATCGCTTCTCAACAAATAATTAAAAGCCTGAAGAAGTTGGTTCCTCGTCAACGGTTCTAACGGTCTCGTTAAGGGTTCAGGCGGACTAGGTGCAGCAAACATAACCGGAGGTATTAATGCCGGTGCCGATCCTCTTCCCGATAAAGTAGGCGCGGTAATGATATCTTCCGATGCCTAATTGAATCAATAAAAAAATTCTCAGATCTTACGCTTAAAAAAAGAACCTATAAAAACCTGAATGATTTAACGCGACGCAACACGAATACGACCACTCACCGATGTAACAGATGCATGAGCAAATAAAGACGCAAGTGGATTCGAATTACTAGAGACGATAACGTCAGAGGCCTGATGATTCGTTGAATTAGAAGATGATACATTTATCGGAGACTGTATCCTATGAAATCCTGTTGTACCGTTTGTGTCTGCAGTGTTCGGATTTACAGGCGGTGGAATATCCTGAGTCATAGACGCTGGTGTAGTTATGATAGAATCTGGTTGAGACACTGTCTTGCTTCGTCTTTTGGATTTGTTCGATGCCGTGCTACTGGCCACGTTATTACCGGTCAGTATAGCGGTAGGAGTCGTTTGAGATTGTTGCTGAGTGGCTGGTTGTGGAGTTATAGATCTGTGTTGCTTTTCAATGTGTTCTACCGTGTGTGCTGCTGGATGTGACATTAAGCGTGCAAGTAAAGGTTTACTCTCGTTCGGTACAGTGCCCCCTGGTGTAGGCTGATCTCCAGCTTTAAAATGACCAGTATTAACCTGAAAGTATCGTAAGAACCTGCATATTTGCTGCCTATTTGAAATTGTGATATCAAAATTTACAATTCATTAACGAATTCGTTAAACTGTAAAGTAACTAATTAAATGTTGTACAAGTACTAACTTTTGCTTTTGCAAAAAAGTCCATTACACTTTGCGAAGTAACGTCTGGACCTAACGGAGCAGTTAACGGACCAGATACATTTTCTGTACCAGGAATAACCAGAGGAGACTTAATGCCCTGTCCCTCTCTGGTACTTCCTCCTCCTCCGCTGCTACTACTATTTCTATTAGTATTAAAATCTTCCTGAGCTTTGCTAAGCATACTAAATATGTCAACATTGTTCACGTTAGGACCAGAATCTTTTTTCTCGTTAACAACAGGCTTGTTACAAGCTTTCCGATTTTCTTCCGATTCTTTAACAAGCTTATTCAACATAGCGCCAATGCGCACGCATTCCTCTTTGTCATAAAACCATATACCATAAATGTTGCATCTGGAATTTCTATATAATAAAAATGGCTCTTGCAGTTGTAAGTCCAAGCCATGAGTAACAGGTTCCACTAGATTATTTGTATTTAATCTGCAAAAATATTATTGGAGTAGGGGCTAAAAGTTGTTTACAATTCGTGGCTCGAAAGGAAAAGAAGCATGCTTGGATGTTTCAAACTTATCAACCGATAAATATATCACTCTCAAAGTTGTTGAAATACTTAAACATATATTGAAGCTTATACAAGGTAGATTCACAGTAATGTATATTACCTATTCATGATAAGAACACTGTTATAGGGCTCGCCATTCCGCGAGTACACGAATAATGCACCTTCGATGTCGGTTTTTTCCCATTCATTATTCACTGCGTTGAAAGTGTAAAGTGCAACGTGCGTCGCAGTTTCCAAAATATCTTTCACATAGGGATCTACTCGTTTCAGTGCGGCCACGTTCATTCGTAACTCTGTTAGATCCGTCATTGTGCTTCCCACAGCTCAACGATGTAACTCAAGATGTGCAACGATAGTAATTCTTAGTAGTTCAATTCAAAATTTCGTTTGGTCGCTCCGGTAAATCACAAAGAATATAATATTTTGATGTAACGCAAGCAGCTGCTCGTATAATAAACGTCATACTAGATTTAAGGTTGATACCGTTGTTACATCTGCGAACAAGTAATATCACAGAATGCCGACGCTTACTTTCTTTCAGTACCAGTGTTCATTTCTGATTGGTGCAATCCGGCACGTTGCAACGGACGCTCAGTTAAGAAAGGAGAATCCAACAATGCCTCATCCAATCACGTCGACAGAACTTTTGAAAATGGAAACCAATAATACGGCAATAATGTGATTATAATGCTATTTGCATATGTTCAAAATGTATATAAATGCACTTTACAGGTCCCAGAGAAAGTTATTTTTAAATTTTCACATTTACGGTAAGTTCACAGCTAATCGGAAAGGGAAATGGATTGAAAATCACGGTAACATTTTTTCCAATCTATCGAGAAACAAATTTGTGTTCGTTTTATTAATGCAGTTGTCGAATAAATTAACGAATCTTTTTACCGGATATTTTGTATGTATATACGTAATCACATACGGTACAGTATAATATATAATGTATAGTATAATAAAAAGTCAACATATTACGCCATCTTGATAGAAAATAAAAATTGACCGCGTTGTTTGGTCTTTCACTATAGTAAATACCGAACCAAACGCTTTGATACTAATTTCATGCGACCGTTATTTGCACTTTCTTCACACAGAAGAAAATGATAACGCTTTATTGGCCAACTTAGTTTTCTCTCATACTAAATTCGATAATACGTACAGTATGTAACAAATAGTGTACCGGCATTTTTTTCTACTTTTTATATATAATATTTTGTTGAATACACCTTTCAAAATTCGAAGATATTAATTATTCAAATTTAAAATTTGCTCGTAATTCCTTGGAACGATGCACGATGAACGTCCTTCCACCGATTTCATCCGGATTCGTTAGGCAACTTTCTTCATGGAATTGTTACATTTCTTCATTTTTGTTCGTGCAACGAGCTCAATGAAAATCCAAAGTGCACGTAGTGCACGTAAAATAGAATTTTGAGAAGATTCATGCGCGTTAGCGCAGCGTATGGAAAAATTGGGTCGATGTGCGAAAGATGGCGACCACTGCGTGGTGTGTGTGAGAAAGATTCGTACTTGGTAAATTTCGCCAAAACATGAGAAAATATGGAAAAACCGATGCACACGTGTACTCCGCTACTATATGCGAAAGGTTCATAGTATGTTTATGAATATTCAGATTCTATGTTTCCTGTTCGCGTGAGGGACGTTTGTTTACGGAAAAGTTTGTATAATACTTCAACGCGAAGTGAAGTGTTGTAAGGGAAAAAAGAGACCCTAACTTGGACGAGACTGGAGATAAAGTGTTGCCGGACTTCGGCCCGGTGAGAAGATCAGTAGAGATGCTGAAACAATTGCAGATGGGGATGAGAGCTTTCCTCTTGATGGCCTCCCGTGTGTGGACATGCGTCTGCTTTCTCCTCAAGAAGCAGGTTAGAGCCGTAAGTAGGTGCTTCGCGCCTCTATTAGCCTTTTTTTACGTTTATAATTTATACGACGTAACATCCTTTCGATATCGTATTACATTAGGTATCGAGCATTATCAGATTACTTTCATGAGTTTCAGAAAATTTTTGCCGGTTCCAGTAAACATTTTGTCATGGTCGGTCGTGTTGTGATAGTGTTGTATGTTTAGTAATGTATCTTTGATTTCGTTAACCCTTCTTCGGTTTTTGGCGGTCTCACTGGCCCTTACGATTTTTAAACTACACGTGCTTCGTATGATTGCTGGGAAATTGATGTATTTGATGAAATTTTTTAATGTCACAAAGCACATTTGCTTGTATTCAGTTTAGCAGGATAATATGTTGTTATAAAGAACTTTTTACCAACTGTAAAAATCCAAAGAAGGGTTGAAGTATTCAATCTGTATGGTAATTTATGTAGTTGTGTTATCCAAATTCATGTATCAGCATGATTGTCAATATTTACTTTATCTTAAGAACCTTTTATTTTCTTGTTATCTCTTATTTCCTGCATAAACTTTCAGTAAGAAATATATATTTTGTACTATAGTGGCTTATTTATGTTCAAAACATATGTACCATGACTACTATTAATTATATTTTTTTAGATATCACAAATGCAACCTGTTAAATATGAGATGTTCCCATTATCTCCACTGTCAAGGCATAGGCTTAGTAAGTATTGTTAACCTTTTATCAATTATTGGGCAATAACATAAATGTTTAGAATGATAAACTTATGTTATCATATGTGTATAAAGGTATTATTACTTGCGTGTAATAAAAGCATATTGCAGGTATAGTTAAAAGAAAAGTATTAGTATTGGATTTAGATGAAACATTAATTCATTCTCATCATGACGGAGTAGCAAGGCCCACAGTCAGGCCTGGTACACCTCCAGATTTTATTCTTAAAGTGACAATAGACAGACATCCAGTCAGGTTTTTTGTTCATAAAAGACCACATGTAGACTTCTTTTTAGACATCGTTAGTCAGTGGTAAGTATAATTATCAGAAAGTATCACCTTTGTTTAGATAAGATTATATTAATTTGTTTATAGCTATGTTCTCTTTTTTAAAAATATCAATTTCTTTAGGTATGAACTAGTGGTCTTCACTGCTTCCATGGAAATCTATGGAGCAGCTGTTGCAGATAAGTTAGATAACAACAGGGGTATTTTAAGGCGCAGATATTATAGACAACATTGTACACCAGAAATGGGTTCCTATACTAAAGATCTGTCTGCAATTTGTTCAGATCTAGCATCAGTCTTTATACTTGATAACAGCCCAGGAGCCTACAGAGCTTATCCACGTAAGTATATACATATTTATATGTATCTCTTTCTTTAAATACAATAATTTTAATTTTATAGTTGCCTGATTTAACATGATCTTTTTAATTTCCTCATTCATTTAATACGTATTACAAAAATGTTGTATCGTAAATTCGTTTAATTCTTCTAATGTGTACATGATACAGTAAGTATATTGTAAATATATACAATTTTTCTTATAACATTGTCAGTTTGATTCAATGCTACTGTATCATATACTACATATCACGACCTGTAGTCAGAACTTGCTTACATGTGCACAACTATAAGTAGCAGTATTATCCAATTTCAATATAAATTAACAACACCAATGTCACATAATCATTTACAGATAACTTTTATTCATAAAGAAATTTTCTCACGAATGATAATACTACATCATTTACACTGTGATGTATTTGATCATAATCTCTAATTATATTAGACATCTTTCTTTATAGACGCGTTTATATAACGATAGTAAAGAACTACCTTAAAGTATTTTTATCAAGTATGTTTTTGATATGTAACCATATGTACACGTGATTTCAATGTCTTTGTTACAGTTATTATTGTTGTTAATATTATTATTATTATCGTTGTCATGATTATTTTGAAATTCGCGATTAATAACAGAAAACATCGCCATTTTTATTCCTATAATCTCGTTTCAAATTATTTAGCTTTCAGGCAGAGCCGGCGCGAGCGGATTCCTCGCGGGGTTAAAAGGTCCCGTATAGATTTGGGAAAGGGGTCTACGTATCATTGGTAGACGGCCACTTATAAAATTTTACGAGTTTCGAGATTGAACTGTTCCAAACTTGAAACGTATACATAAATGTTCGCGCCGGCCCTACTCTTAGGCTTACATTTGTTCAATAGTTTGACTGGATACACAAACAATAAAAAATTGAGGGTGTCAGGTAATTCTTATTGAAAACCATGTCTATTTGCAGCTATCAGCGTTGATGTTCTGTAAGCAAGCACTGAATACAGGCCTATGGATAGATGTAAAATATGCTCAATTGCCAATGCTCCTCCACTTGAATATGCACTGGACACTACGCCGAATCGGCAATGAAATAATTTCAGCTGTTTTAATCATTTTTTTTAATAATCCCTGTGTATCAGGTACTAGTTCAAAAGCTAGATTTTATTTTTACATTCCAAATATTTTATTTGCGACATCCAAGAAAGTTTGATTATAAATATTGTACTTTTTTCTATCAAATGCCTTGGTTAAATATTTGGAATATTAATCATAGCATTGAACTTCTCTTGGATGTTATATTAGACGACTCATTTGTTTTTCTACAAACGATTTGCAACTTAGAGATATTAGACGTGTGCAATGAATTTTCTTTTAAGAAACGAGACGTTTCTACAAATCTATTACTATTTTTTTTCTGTTACCGCAGATAACGCAATACCAATAAAGTCATGGTTTAGCGACGCGGGAGACACTGCTTTATTAAGTTTACTTCCAGTTTTGGATGCGCTTCGTTTCACGCAAGACGTGCGGTCCGTTCTTTCAAGAAATTTACATTTAGATCATACTTGGTAGCATAGTCTGGATTAATTGATACATTAGATTTATTAGAGATTGAACTACAAAACAGATTAGCGTGTTTAACCTAGGATTATTATTGTTACTGATAATAGACGTTAGGATGCTGCCTGAATTATGAGACAATGATCCCTTTGACCCTGTCCTCATTTTCTACGCTCGTTAAAAACGGAACCATAGCGAGTAAGTTTCAAAAGGGAGTGGGACCTTCAACCAAACTATTTATGTCAGCACAAAACATCGTGGAATATTTTCGTTACGTTCATGTGTGGGCAATAATATATACGTGTATGTATATAATACACACACATACACACATTACACACACACACAAACTAAACACAGACACACACACAGGACATATGTGTATCATGTTTTCTTAAAAATAATGTATTTGCCAAAGATCGTGATTTCGAAGTAACATAGATTTATATATATCTCTCTCCAAATAATTTTGTTCTAAGTAAAACTATATTGAACATTTTAAGTACTTTTGCCACACATGATAAAGAAAGGTGTTATATTTTTTGAACGAATTATTTCTGTTATATATAATATTATTAAACCTAGGATATAGTGTAACAAGGAGAAAAAAAACGAAAGAAAAGAAAATATACTAAGTCACTTTAAGCGGACTTCGCTGTCACTCACTGTATCAGTGAGGCAGCTATCCTGATTATACCTAATAATAAAAGGAAGTATTAAAAAAATTACAAAGAGGCGATTTGATTTCATCGGATTTTTGAAAAAGATTAAAACTTATTTAAAATACGATGTGCGACGTGTTAATACGTTGAAACATAGGCGAATAAAGTTACAGTAAAAAAAAAAATGTAATCATATGAATAGCTGTATACTTTGTTCGATTGTTTAATCATCAAAAAGTACTAGTAATTATTATACGACTTGTATATACTACGATGAGGAATGTATTTGTTGTAAGGAAATATTGATTTGCGTGAATGAACAGTGTAATTAAATCATCGAACATGATTTTTTCCTAATATTTATATATGCATATATACACGTATGTATATACATATATATAAATGTTAACTTTACTTAATTCTGAAAACTTGATTGGGATGCCCATGTGCGTAAGAAAAGAATCTGTTCTCAAATAAATTGTATGCAATTGAGAACATTTGTTTATTTATTGACATGCATCAAAGGAAGTTGCTCACGTGGACTTAAATTACTAATTGTAATTTTGTCCCAAAAGAAGATTTGCAATGGGTAATAGATACGGAATAGCGCAGGATTATACCGAACCCAATAGAAATAACGTCTTTCTGTACATAATACGTCTGTATGTACTTGTATGTATGTATGTCTTGCTGTCACATACATGCAATTATATGTATATGTCAAGAAAATACTAATTTTTTAATTTCAAATATTATATAGTGCAAAAATAAAAAACGCAAACGATCCGTTTTATAAGTATAGTTTATGGCTTAATGTGATTTTGTGTATCGCGATTGTCTTTTTTAAATTTAAGTACAGATTAAAAAGATGTACATACTTAGTTTGTAAAGATAGTATGTATCTTTGGTTTGTATACCCTTCCTAGTACATTGTTAAATATTTTTACCAGATTATTTCTGTTATGTAATAGATAATATCGAACAGCAATGTGTGCTAGCATTATGATGGATATTAAAAGAACGTTCTTATTTCGTACGAGGTTCTTTCATTTTTATTTTGCATAAAAGTTATTCAACAATATACGAGGCCTTTAAAAGCAGGGATGGAACATCGATGCTAATAATTGAAGGGATTAAAAAAAATGCTAATTTTTCTAGGGTTTTTTAAAAGACATTAAGTAACAACCACTATTTATAACGTTTAATATTACTTAAAAAGTAATGCCTTACATGTATCGTTTTGTTTTATAAATAACCTTTAGTACCATTTGTAAGAATAAATATGATTTCAATTCAATTTTACAGTACAAAGATAAAATAATGCTGGACAAGGTTTAAGCTTAAATTAAGCCCAAGAACATCGACTTCAATATACATATACATATATATATATTTATATATATATATATATGTATGAATATATATTACATACAATCAGAATATAATGATATATTTCTTTGAATAAACATCACAGAATATTCTGCATATCGAAGATTTTTATGATGGAAGTGAATGTTTCTGAAGTAATTATTTACACCTTCGGTGGATCCTCGCGAATCATTTCCAGAGAACTATCTGAATTATTAGTACTACTTCCACTTCTAGCATCATCTTCTCGTTCATTTGGTTTATCCTGATTTGTACCTGCAGCATCTAATTGCCACGACGGTATAGATATAGATGGTACAGATGCCGGTGCACTTGGAAATTGTTTTCTGTTTAAAATTCAAAGTTTCGGTAAATAATAACTCGAGCGTTCGTGAATTATTTGGATTCCTATGTACAAATTTATAAGATGACTCTATCTCATTTTTTGGTGATACTAGTTGTAAAATGATACAAAAATATTAAACGTAGATCCTGTTTCTACACGTTTTTTGTAATTAGTCAGGAGCTGACCGACATATTTTATAGTTGCTTTTTTTTTCTCAAAAGATTTTTACTTTTGTATCCTTAATAAAAAAGAAAAACTGTCTGTATGACTGAGTCCAAAATATGTACATGTGTATGCGTTAATGCGAAAAATAGTAAAGATAAAACTTTTGTAAAAAGACATATATACCCTACTGTAAGTGTATAAATTAAAAAATGAAATAGCAAATGATATGTAAACAAAATAATTATCTTATAAAGCAATAAATGTTACTATTTAATTTGTTTATCATCTAATTGTATTCCAGTAATGTTTAAGCGTATGATCATATACCTTGATAAAAGTAAGGATTTGAGACTAGCTAAATCTTGTTTCAGTTCTTGTACCAACTGTGGTATCACCGGGTCAATAGACTGATTCTGTGTCAATTTTTGAACATCATCCTCTACTTTCGAAATAGATTGCTTTACTTCTTTCATAGAATTTTGAATTGTCTTGTCTAATTCATTGACCGAATCTTGTATACTATCTTTCTTTTTCCTCCCAAATAAAAGTGGTTTAATAAATTTCTGTAATATAACAAAATATGTATTCCAATCCATCTATTGCATGATATAGTCAAGAGGCTTTTCATCCATATAAAAAGAATACCTTATAAAACCAATAAACACAATATATAGTGGTGCCAATTAAAGCAGCAGTATTAAAGAACTCTCTAATTTTTTGGAAAGGAGTTAATTGATATGGGTATGTTTGTAAATATGGATAAACTTGGCCTGGTGGAACTGGAACAACAGTATAATCGTTTGAATTATAAGCATTTTGCTCAACTGTTACATCGACACCAGCTAATTTAAAAGCTGTTTTAATCTCCTCCTCCGTTAAACCTTTCTTTTTAAGAAATTCCCTTTTAGGACCTACAGGACTACTTGCTACTTTAGGATTTTTTAAAAACTCCACAGCAGTTTTTACCTTAAAGAAAAAGTGTTTGTTAACTTTAAGCTGTATAAATTAATTAATTTTTAATGTTTACACAAGCATCTACATTATATAATTTAATAAGTATATTTCGATTTCTTTTTTTAAGACCTTTATTTAAAGGTTACATATATTTATGTACGTGTATATATAAGAATAAACATATAACCTAAGAATAATGAAAACTTACTAAATTTTCCCTTAATGGAAGGATATTATTATTCGCATCCTGATCGGCCATTGCCACTATTGTAAATGTTATCGGTTTAATTACAATATCATAACTATACAATGTTCGACATTTTAATATTCAAATATTCTATAATATTAGGAGCACATGCCCTTTAAAGTGTCCGGCACGCAGGCGTTGATACAAAAATTATGCCAGATATATTATCTTCCAAATATAAGACCGTTTTTTATACAAACGATATTGAACTTTGTATTTTGTTCCACTAATATATGTCGCATGTTCAGAATTGAAATAAGGAAAGAAATGAATGCATTGAAACTTGTAAAGAATATATAATTATGCTAATTGAATGTAAAAATAAAAAAAAACAAAATCATCGGAAGAAAGAGTTGATTTTATAAGTACGAAAAAGGGGTTCAGCTGATAAATTGTTTTTTGGATACTATTTAGTGCTACATTTTTATTATAGCGATTATGTAGATATAAATATACAACTACCGGTTTTGAAATCAATACAACAACCCTATTTGCCCCATAAATGTATAATTGCTGTGTTTATGATTGTAATGTTATATAAGTGAATCTAAACTTATAAAAAATAAATTGCTATATGTTCTAAAGAACAAGTACTTCTATAAATTTAACTTCTTCTAATAATACGAATCTGAAACACGTAGTACAAAGAAGTGGGTGTTGCTTTCGTCATTTGATAGTTCGCACTTGTATCAGTAGGTTGGTACTGTTACTGTAAGTTTCGGAGGCTGATACAAATTAGTATCACATATTTTTATTCGTAGCAAGAGTCATGCGTAAGTAATTTTTTATAATTTCGAAATTTGCAGCTACGAATATCTCGCGTATCAGAATGTTTGAGAAACTCCTGATAATGTTAATGTCTTACTGTATAGACCGTTCATTTCCGATCAATAATACTAACCGTTTACAAGACATACTAAAAGAACCTCAAATGTCATTTAATAAAAGGGGCGTTATCTTTCACACATATATTCATATATTTTATCCTCTGATAGCTATGCAACACCGAAATTTTATATTAACTTTTGTATAAATATTTTATTTTAATTTTTTCAGTCAGACTTGATGAAAATTTCATTCAAAAACATTTTAATGTCTTATTATGTATTACATACAATAATTATTGCAAATTTATTGAATTATTACTTTAAATAAATATTATTTTTTCATAGGTTGGTTGTAGTTAAAATAAAAGGAAACACCCTCTGTCAAGATGATAGGGGGTTTATTCGTGTATAACCATAAGGGGGAGGTACTCATTTCCAGAGTGTACAGAGATGACATTGGACGGAATGCTGTTGATGCATTTCGTGTCAATGTTATCCATGCCAGGCAGCAAGTACGCTCACCTGTCACCAACATTGCAAGAACATCATTTTTCCACATAAAGCGTGCTAATATTTGGTTGGCTGCTGTTACCAAGCAAAATGTCAATGCAGCAATGGTATTTGAATTCTTATTAAAGATTATTGATGTTATGCAATCATATTTTGGAAAGATTTCAGAGGAAAATATCAAGAACAACTTTGTTTTAATTTATGAATTGTTGGATGGTCAGTATCAAAGTATACCTTTACCATGCTTGATTATTAAAAATCTAACTAACATTACAAGAACTAATTTATAATTCTTGTGCAGAAATTTTGGATTTTGGATATCCTCAGAATTGTGACACAGGGGTATTGAAAACATTTATCACTCAACAAGGAGTAAAGTCAGCAACAAAAGAAGAACAGGCTCAAATAACTTCGCAAGTAACTGGTCAGATTGGATGGAGAAGGGAAGGTATCAAGTATAGACGCAATGAATTATTCCTGGATGTACTGGAATATGTAAATCTTTTGATGAGCCCTCAGGGTCAAGTGCTTAGTGCACATGTTGCTGGCAAGGTCATTATCTAAAAAAACTCTAGTTCCTCAAAGTTTTGGAGAATTCAAGAATTAAAATGTTTAATATCTTTATTGTAATAGGTTGTTATGAAATCTTATTTGTCTGGAATGCCAGAATGTAAGTTTGGGATCAATGATAAAATTGTAATGGAAGCCAAAGGTATGAAAGGTGGAAGTGGTTTAGGAGGAGGGGGAGATGATCCTACTGGTGCTAGATCTGGAAAACCTGTTGTTGTAATTGATGACTGCCAATTCCATCAGTGTGTTAAACTTAGCAAATTTGAGACAGAGCATGCTATTAGTTTTATACCACCTGATGGAGAATTTGAACTGATGAGGTAAACAATATTTAAAGATTCTAAATTTAACATTCTTTGTAAAGTTGAATTTTCTAACATGCTTTCCTCATAATTATTCATAGATATCGTACAACTAAGGATATATCTTTGCCATTCCGTGTTATTCCGTTAGTACGTGAAGTAGGTCGTACAAAGATGGAAGTAAAAGCAGTACTAAAATCGAGTTTTAAGCCTTCTTTGCTAGGGCAAAAGATAGAAGTACGAATACCTACACCTCTGAATACTGCAGGTGTGCAGTTGATTACCATGAAAGGAAAAGCAAAATACAAAGCATCTGAAAATGCGATTGTATGGAAAATCAAACGAATGGCTGGTATGAAAGAACTTCAATTATCAGCTGAAATTGATTTGCTCGAAACGGATACGAAGAAAAAGTGGACACGACCGCCGATATCGATGAATTTCGAAGTTCCGTTCGCGCCATCTGGATTCAAAGTGCGCTACCTGAAGGTGTTTGAATCCAAGTTAAACTATTCTGACCATGATGTTATAAAATGGGTGAGATACATAGGTAGAAGTGGTTTATATGAGACACGATGTTAATGATGTCTTATTACATTAATTGTAAATGAGTAATCTCAATGCATAAATACAATTCACTCGACAGTTTCTCTTTGTGGCGCATATTCTGAACAGTTATCAGAAACTAGTACATGATTAAGAAAAGTAACAATAGATACCAAGGGGAAAAGATACTTTTGTGTCAGTCTTCTGTCATGTAATTTTTCGTATCATGTGTTATACCTTATTACAGTGTATGCGTGCCCTATTTAAGAAACTTTTATACAACATTTTATTATATCTGAGTTTTAGTGAAATTCTTATCTCTGTAAAAATTAACGTTTGTAATTTCATACGTTGATGTAGATTTTAATTGTAAATTTTCGCGAATGTGCAACAATGTATTTCGTATTTGTATATTGTATTAATAATCCTTTCTTTTTTTATGAGATTGAAAAATACTGTGACCTCTTTGGTATCAATATGATAGGAGAAACAGAAGAATCGCTAAAAATCATGATTAATTCGAACGTGCGCTTAACAAATTTTATGTTAACGAAAACGTTCGTTGTCGTTTATCGAAAATGAATAGAGAATGTCTTAATTCGTTTGTAAAGGAATAATTTTGTCTCTCTATGTTGAAATTCATATGCATAATAAAAAATGTATGTAATTAAAATTGTTAATATCTTTCAAAGAATATTAATTGTTCAATGATTGATTTCAAAGTATTTAGCTTCTGAAATGTTTAAATACGTAGTTCGATAAAAGGGCAAAGGATAAGATGGCGTTGTAGAAGGATCTAAAGGCTTGTAACGGCCATTTTCAAATGTTCGAGAACTTGAAACGAAATCAAATTTCATATACATTTATTTATAAATATAAAATATGTAAGATTAATTTTAAGAAATGGAAATACTCTGTGTAATAGACACAATAGTGATCGATTAATATTGAAATCAATCATGAAACATTGTATCGAATCTCGTCGAGATTTCCTCCACCACTGTTTCTTAAATTTCATGCAAATTTTGTAATAATTCGTAATAATTACATTCACTCACCATTTGTAGCTGTTTTATCCGTCTTGTGAAGCAAAAGTTCCAGGTACACACAAAGTTTCACTTCTTTTTTATCAAAAATCACGCCACCGGTTACACAACGACGTACACTAGATTTCGCGCGTTAATACACACTAACGGACGCTCCGAACGCAAGTCAAATTGTTACAATTGTTTTGCGCAATGATTGTGCGCATCGATGGTCGATATCGATCAAATTCGAAATTCGTTAAAAATATATTTACTTTAAAACACGTAATTTATAATTAATTACCAAAAATTTTATAGTTAAATAAAAATATTACTCTTAATAATTACGCGCATAAGAATTGGTATGCCAAATAAATGTTTAAAACAAATAATCGGTAATTGTAACGAAACAATATGTACCGGAAGTAAAGATAAACGAATTAAATATATATAATTACTGGTTGAATCGAAATATTTTTATTCCTAAAGAAGTAGTACGTATGCGAAAATTGCAAATAATAATTTTCAAGAATTATAATTCTGTTTTCTGTTCATGATCGATCGAGTAATTGATTTGACGCGGATTAAATTGAAAGCCGTCACGATGGACAGCGAACGGAAAGAGGAGAGGCGAAAGAACGTGTCCTAATTAGTTTTAATCTGTTGGATTAATTACGTTCTCGAGAGAGAATACGATTCAACTGGCAGAGACTCGAAGAGGAGAAATTTAAATTTGAAGCGGAGTTTCTCATCTACATATTGCCCGCTCGTTTCGGTGGCAGAGCGTGATAACTTCTGCTTGGCGCATGCGGCTCACGGCCATACCCGTGTTCGTACCTGTCATGGATTCCAAGGGTCGACCGCGAGCGCAGGCACGCGTGATTACACGATTTTACGCGTGAAAATCAACGGGTACATCAACAGAACCGTGGACGAAAGTAATGCAGGATGATTAGCCGGTGGTAAAGTGGTGATTTCTCGACGATTCAAGCATCGACCACGCGTAAACAATCGTCTCAAGATGAACCCTTTCAACACGGGTTACTGGTCTTCTGTCATACGGAGCACAGATATCGTAAGTATTCGATACATCGAAAACATTAAACGCGACAACATTGATATCCATTCGCGATAAACAACAACGATGACACGGTTTACGCCCGTTGTATTTTCTTTGTCGTCAATATAGATCGTCAAAATTTTCCGAATGGTTTCACGGTGGTTTTTCCAGTCTGATTACTTTCCGCCCGAATAACTTTCTACCGAGACATACGTTCTCAGAATTTTGACGAGTTCACCAGTGTTTAGGTTACGAGACAGCCGCGAATTGTAAACCGTACGTCCTCGAGGTCTCGTGGCGATTCTCACCGAGCAGTTTTATGGGTACCGTTATTTTTAGTGCATACCGTAAACCCGCAGCTCTGGCATAAACGAAGGTATCGTGAATTTTATATAATTTTCAATTATTAACCGGCACGTGCAGCCTCTCCAACTGTCGTCTATCGTTCGGCCGAAAATACGTTTTTTAATCGTAGCTCTCTTGTATTCGTGTCATGGCTGTGAAACGTCTTTCAAAGAACGAGTCGAATATTTGGTAGCAAGGTGTTGATTTTTCTAATGACAACTCGGCGAATCGAACGTCAACGTTCGTGCCGCTGAATTAACATCTTTTTTTTGGCGGGAAATTCGATGCAAGTAATAATATATATTCGTGTATCGAAATGTCAGCGTGCAACGTGATTCATTAAACGACCGAGCGTTGTCTGGGCGAGCTCATCGTAATCAGCTGTTATCAAGAACGTTACTATATGTATTTCCTGCCACTTGTGGTTCTACTAGCTAGCTATTCCGTCGTAACCGATGCAAGTCACTTTTACGGCTTCGCCGTGTATCGAATTGTTACCATTAAACCTGAACAACGCGGCCGGTGCTACCCCATTGCTGTAGCTGCTTATTTTATCATTCGTCTTATCGTGCTATATCGGTAACGATAATCGATAATTCGGCCAGGTGGGGTGGTTGAAATTTTCAGTTTCAGCAAAGCCTATTAAAAGACAAAACGGACAGCGGTGCCTTAAGGGTGATAAGCTGGTCGATTTAGTCGAAGTATACTTAGAAGCCAAGTCGTGATCTTCTGTTTAAAGAAACCCTGCGTTTGATGCGCACACGGTGTGATCAAGGAACGACTGAATATTCTAGAACAGCGAAAAGAAAAAAATCGAAAACTATCATATTGTTATTTTATGCAAGCGAGTAGGCGAATGCTCTACACCCGTTTTATAATTTATCCGAATATCGCACACGAGGCACCGGTGAAATTATTTAACGTTCCTTAGGTATCTCGCAATTAGAAATTCCGTAATTCGAAAATTTCCAAAAGCCACTTGATCGTCGCTGCTATAGGGGTTGGTTCTATTAATAAAGCTGGAGGACTTGGCCCATCCCAGGGTTGGCGATGTACATTAGATAATTGAAGCTATAGTAAAAACACACTATATCCGAATAACGTGGAAGAATAATCCATTCTGTGTGCAATATACTTTCACAATTTCATTTAGATCCAGGGGTTTAGATAGTGCATCGGTGAGTCATTTAGTTGGGACATTTGTTTTTGTATATGAAGATCAGATGAATCGCTATAAATAAAATCCTATTCATCCAAACGATAGTTTGCTAACCATTCAGTAGTCTATGAGCTATTGCATTGATCTTGTTTCTTTTTCTTTTTTGTTTAATATTTTAGGTAACAATCATAGGTATATAGAAGATTTGTTGGCACGGTCGATGCAAGTAAAAGTAGACGCAGACTTCTTTGGACTTGTTGAGTGTCCAACGCAACCGGTATCATATCTGGCACTGTATGGAACGCTTAGAAATTGTACACAATACCCAGGATTATAGCAACGTGTCTATACAGACACCTGTACCGTACGCGTTGCTCCCACCGTATAAATTACGACGAAGCTTCAGGCGCACATGTGTGCTGCATTAAAAAGCAAATAAATATGATGCAGTGCATTACGTACGAGACGATTATCGAACGTGTATAGCGGTTATCTGCCGATAGAGCGGCACGTGCAACGATAATAATAGAACTGTCGGTGCATTCACATACGGGGGATACCTGTTGTGTAGTACGTTAAAGACACAAAGTTTCACGCTCAGGCACACTTCAATCATCGGTGGGATTAGATCCGGTTAAATCGATAAATCCGATCGAGCCACCGGATGAGAACTAGAGTTTCACTTTTCACGAGTATCTTCGAACGGCGCACCAATGATTTTCCTTAATCCCTGAAATCGTATTTCATCGTTCGATAGAATGTTTTATTGCCGGGGAGTCACTATGGCTAGTCATTGTTCTTTTTTCTTCTTTACAATTTTCAGTATCTAATCTGATATCAATATCTTCCATTTAAGGAAACCAGGTCGGTGTATCGTCTACGAGGCATTAAATTTGATCCGTTTTAGGATTAACGCCGTATACAATGGCGAGCATGCTAGCTCTCCTTACAGAAAATTACTGAAGAGGAAAGAGGACCCACCGCTTATTGGTTTTTCGCTTGACAACATTTTAAATTTCGGAATTTCAAGTTTACGCGATTCCTCCAACAGTCGAGTACTCCCTCTTATCTTTATCCAAAGGAAACCCACATCGTGCCTACACGACCGTACGTTGTATAAGACGAATTACACGGAACAATGATTTCTTTTAACAGCCAAGCTACCTCTGTAATTTTCAATACGTGTCGGATAAATCATTGCCGTGACATCCGTTCGCGATCGTATATCATACACGCTTCTCGACTGGTTTTCTATTCAAGGTTGCTTGTACCACGATAATCAAATTCCATTCCATTTAGGAGGCATGCTTCAGCCCAGAACGGAAACGACCGGTGTGTTTCAATAGTAATTGTTTAAAGACAAGACTATAGCCCAGGTAGAACTTGCTAGTTTGTTACGTAGTTTCTTTCATTCGAGCGAAGAAATAATAACACGACATATAAGGAGGACAGAACAGTTCAAAGACCAGTAAAGATTAGTCCTTTTCGTGTCATTGTTCTCGTCCCACTTAACCACTTGTTTCACTACAGTTTTCTGCTGAATTATCTTGATCGTTCAACTAACATCATAGCCATTTACATCGATCAGTGGACGAGTCTTTAATAATACTAATTTTTTTTCTTTGTACCTATGTGGCCAAGTTACAGCTAGAGTCTATGGCTCCTAGATGCATGGACGTTGGATCAATGATAGGGAAGGTTGCGTTGCTAATCACGTGGTGCCGAAACAAAGATAATTAGGAGACGATAATGGTGATAGAAATAGATGCGTATAACAGTAAACAACAGAGTTAGATTTGTTCTTCGAAGGGTCGAACATCACAGTAGATACATCCATAGTAAGACACAATGTCTCTTGAAAACAGACATTTTGGTGTTTACTCTTGCAGTGTTTTATACTACAAGAAATAAATTTGAATGACAGTCGGTTTCCTTCTCTTTTTGACAAACCAACGACCAAGCAAATAACGATATCTCTCAGTATCAACTTTTCCTTCCTGTACGGAAACATTTGTGTTTCTTATCACCTACTACGTCATCGTGAATATATTTAGCATACAGTATTTCGATTTCTTTGCACATAAAAGTACCCCTTAGCTCGTACAAAACAGAACAAATACGTCTATTTTCTTTCACGGAAATGAATGGTTTTCCGAGAAAATTATTCGTTCCTGTCAATTTGCAACAATGTTTATTTTCCCTGGTAAAATGGCATAAAACCGTTCGACGTATTCTAACTCACTTTTGTGCATGATTTGCAGAAAACGTTGTAGCAAACGATGTAACGTGATCGAAAGCGATAATAGCAAATTTTGTGGAAAATGGCGTTGCTCGAAAAGGCCGATCTATTTTCGCGTCGAGTTAAATACAAGCTCGCTCGCTCGCTTGCGGTCATTCATGTTTTCCATTCCCCATAATCGCCGCGCTCCTGCCATGATTTTCACCCCTTAATGTGATCACCGTTAATGTTTCATTGCGATGTTACGAACGGCCAATTAACGTTACTGCCCTATCGCGTTGAACGATTGCACTCGCGAACTCAATTAGCACACCAGAAATTCGGAGACGAGCCGAATTTGTTACCATTTCAACGTGGAAAATTTAGATTTAACTTTTCAACGTAGATTCTCATTCTCTATTCCTCAATTTCCAAGTTTCTCAAAATCCCTAAATTTCAAAATTTCTAAATTTCTAAATTCCCAATTACCCACATATAGAACATTCTAAATTTCCAAATTCTGAACCGCTTAAATTTTCGAAAGTCATTCGCTGATTCGTGGAACGCTTTAAGGGTATTAAAAGCCGAGGGATTGAGAGGTCTAAAACGATTTTCTCGAAATTGCAATCTCATCTGAAGAATCGTTCTCCCGGTGTTACGAAGGAAAAGTGAGTTTAATAATATCGAGTAAACATCATTTGGAAATTCTATCATTTTCATTCGTGAAAATTAAGGTTAACGCGAAGCGAAAGAAACACGTAAAAGTTTATTTATCGCTTCTTGCAATATACTTTATCTCGCACGGGATTACGTGCTTGACACGCGTGTCTGGAACGTGCAATATATTCTCGTTACCAACTTTTACGTTCACGATAAGATTTCAAACGCGCTTGATTCCGTCATTTGTTCGCTTCTTTCACTTTTCTCCTTGTCCTCCTCACGAAAAATCATTTTTCACGCTACGTTTCGACATCGCGTTGTGTCACTTCTATAGGTCGTGTGAACTTTTATTCAAGAATTTGCTATTTACACATCCTCGGAATTTATGTACCTGTAGAGCGTGTTTCAGAAAGAATTCTTGCATTTCACGTATTTCTTATTTATTTATTTATTCGACGTTTAGAATCTTTGCTGACATCATTAGCGACTACATCCATAATCATCTCAGTCATATATTTGCTTCTTTACATTCTACTTAACATTTTCACGGTGGAGTACGTTTTGCAGGAATGGGGTCGTTGATAGTTTTGATTTGAAATCCTAAGTGATTTTGTACCACAATATGTTTTAGTT